AGAGGTGAGACTATGGAGGGCCTAGATTGGGAGAGGGGTTGGGGCAGAGGGGATACTGTGGGTGTGGGGATTCTCTGAGTGGGACATTTTGAGGATGTGGGGGGCTATTGAGAATGTCAGCATTACCGATTGACCTGAATTGGTCCATGATACTTTTCTTTCACAGTGTGAGACAGCTGCCTTGTGAGGGGCTGAGTGATTCATGATGTGTTCACATCACACTTTGTGACTTCAGATCCCCTGACTCCTGTTTCTGCAGCTGCACCTGAATGTGTCTGTGCTCCTATTAGCACAATGTGAGGAGGTGGGGAGACTGGCCCACCCCTGCCCCCCACGACCTCCCCCCACCCCCACCCTGACCTGTGTTTTCTTCCCTGGTTGACTTTCCTTTTCCAGCAGAGGTGGGGCTGGGCCGTCTCCATCCCTGTCTTAACTTTGTGCTGCATTTTATAATAATGTCTTACTTTCCTAATGAAAATAAATCTGGATGTGAATTTGTTTTTTTAAATGGTGCCATGATTTGTTGATGGGATAATAAAGGTGAGGATTCCTAAAGTTTGAGAGAGGAAATGAATGTGCTGAAAACCTTCCAGAAGCCACATGTTTGCTCTGCTGACTCTGTTGCAGGTGGGGCAGGAGGAGGCTATGAGGAGCCGAGTGTCGAAAGGGCCTGTGCCCAGTCAGTACTCAGTCCATTGTGGGCTTTGAAGTGGTTACTGCTGGGGTGGGTCATCTTTGCTGTTCGTGTGTCCTTGTCCCTTCAGTAGAACGTTGTCCCACCAGGACCTGTGACCACAGGGGCTGACATTACCTGGACCTTATTTGTCTCTAGGACCGTGGCCAGTGAAGGCTTTATGTGGCCAGGTTAGCCTAGCCTTAGCCCCCACCTTTTGAGTGTTTATTTGTTGTTTCTTTGTTTCTATAGAGGTTGTTGCCTTGATTTGTGTATCATTCTCCTCCTGTTGTCCCCCATCTCTGACAGCTGGAGGAGTCGTTTTGCCTGTCATTGTCCCCACAAAGCCCAAGGCTGTGTATCTGCACATAGGAGACTCTGTGGTATCCAGAGATGAATTTTCAGATTCATCCAGCTCTTGCCCTCCTTCTAGGGTTTGATTGTTCTTTCCATACTTCCCCGAGCCTCCTCAAAGGAACCAGATTCTGGTATTAGCAGAAAGGAGGGAAACCATAATTTCTCATCTTAGGTAAGTTCCTGTTGGGGTTCTGCTCTGCTTGCCCAGCCACTCTCCCTGCCCTTAGCTCTAGTAATCCTAGTGCTCCAATCTAAATGCATGGATTTATACAGCAGAGTCTAATTTAGGTTTATATTTAGTTGGAAAATAGGACCCATAAGTCAAGGATCATTTTTTTTCTAACTACTTCATTTATTTAGATTTTGTGTGTATGGAAGAGGAGGTAATTTAGGTTTATTTATTTATTTTTTAGCAGAAGTACTGGGGATTGAACCTGGGACCTCCTGCATGGATAACATGCACTCTTCCACTGAGATATACCTCCCCCAGGATCATTGTTTTCTGAAAAGAAAACTGTAATTGTGTGATGTAGTGTAAGGAGGGTTAGTTGTGGGGAAGGGGAGAGCAGCACTTATGAGAAAAGTTCAAATGCAATTGATGTCAATGTGAGTAGATGTTGTGCTGTAGCTGCTACAAACCAACATTTGGCCTGAGGTTACATTAATAAAGATATTATCTTTAGAATAGGGAGATGCTTTACATTGACCATTCATTCAACTGATATCAGTTGTATGCCAGTTAGATGAGTGAGATTTTGCATCTGGGAAACATCATTGAAGTCAGAACAGAAAAATTGCTGGCCTTGTGGAGCATATATTCTATTGGGAAGAGACAGACTACATACTATCAGCATAGTAAATGAGGAGTGTTCTGTTACAAAGGGATAAGTGCTAAGGAAAAGATGCAGGGGGAAGGCAATCCAGAGTGTGGGGACGGGGGTGGGGGGACAAGGGAGGTGGCTATTTTACTAGAGTGATCAGTGTGGGTCCCACTGGAAGGTGACCTTGAGGAAAGATTTAAAGGACATGAGGAATCATCCCTGAGGATGTCTGGGGGCAGTTCTTTCCAGGCAGGGAGAACCTCCAGGCAAGTGCTTCAGGGCAGAAGCACATCTGTGCGTTGTGCGCAAAGTGAGGAGGCCAATATGACTGGAGCAGAGATAAATTGAGAGGCGGTCAGAGGTATGGCCAGATCATGTAGGCCTGGAAGATATTAGAAAGGTTTTGACTTTTGCTCCAAGTGAGATGGGAGTTTTAAGACAGTTTTAAGAAGAGGGACATGGTATGACTTCTCCTTTAAAAGGATCACTTTGCTGTGCTGAGAACAGAATTGTGAGGCAAGGGGTGAGTGGGGCAGTAGGGAAAGCAGTGGGGAACTAGTTCAGTGTCTAGACTGGAGATGTCCATTGTTTCGACTGATGTGTGAGCAGTAGATACAGTGGGACGTGACTGGATTCTGGATACGTTCTGAAGATGGACTTTACAGCATTTCCTAAAGGATTAAATCTGGCGTATGAGAAAGAGGAGTCAAGGAGGACATCCTTAATTTTGGACTATGGAAGTAGAAAGATGGAATTACTGTCAGCAGAGATGTGGAAGACAAAAGGGCATATTTTTGAGGGAGAGTGCATTATGAATATTTGGTTTAAGAAATGTTGGAGCTGAGATTTTATCAGAAATATAAGTCAGGTATTTGGATTGGCAGTTGAACAGATGAGTCTGGAGTTTAAGAGAAATGTCTGGTCTGGGGAAACAGATTTGGGGGATGATGCCATAGAAATGATATTTAAAGCCTTGAGAGCTGATGAGGCCACCAAGGAAGGCAGTGATGGCTGTAGAAGAGGAAGGAACAGAACTGAACCCTGGACCCTCCCACACCAACGCTGTCGGGATCTGACTCAGACCACACATCTGAGCAGACCTCCACCGTTCTGGCCTACCGGGTCTACAAGGCAACGAAGACTCCCG